TGAAGTGCTCCCACACTTCCCACAAACAAACTGGAACTTAGAACTATTCTTAAATACATTTTGTCAAGAGGTTATTGTCTTAAGACTGATGCTTTTAAGAGAATATTTTCATCCAACCACCTCTCTTTTTGATAATTCTTGGTTTAAAATATGTTTCTTTCACTTAAATGTCTTACAAGAGATTTTTTCTCCCTCCTAAAAAGGGAGAGAACAAACTTAACCTGTATCAAGCTTGCCTGCTTTAGTTACTTGGACTATATCTTGGAGTAATAGGGTAAGATTCCAAAACACTATCAAACGTGTTCCTCCTTTTTTTTTTTTTTGGTGAGGTTATACAAGAGCACAGCCTCTCGAATAAACTGAAACTTCAACTCAAATCCCTAGCTTTCCCCCACAAACCATGAAGAGTATTTTAAACTGCAGGCATTTGAAATGGTATATGTGTCTCACTAATTTTTTTCTTCTTGAGCTGCTAAACTTAAGACACTCCGAATAGAGTTCCAGACCACACTATGACTCCAAGCATTAGTAACAGATATTGTGCTCAAAAATAATTTTTACACATTTGTTCTCACCATATAACAGAGCTGCAATGTAGTTGCATAGCAGCCTGAAAATAGACACAAAAAATGAAAAAAAATTTGATTCCCTGTTTAGACTTTGAAATTCTTTGAGACATGTTGCCTTTAAGTGTCCTATACCCAGTGCCCTTAACCCACTCATATCTAAGGGATGAACTAATTGATCCTTATTTTCTTTGCAATTGACAAAATGGTAGTAGCTATTTCAGCAGAGGTAAAGGAGGGTGATGCAGCACACAGAGTGTACATGTCAAAGGGCTAAGAGAAAATTTCTTTGTCCTCTGACTGTCTTTACATCCTCTTCCAGTGGATCACAGTGTATTAAAACAAATATAGGCAGGCGTGCAAATCACATCAGAGATCAACTACAAACAAAATTTTTGTGTCAAACACTTTAATGAAGCAGCTGAATAATCCAGAAATGGCTAATAAAATCATAAAAATTAAACCAAAGAGCATTTTTTAAAGTCAAAGCCCCCCCCCGCTATATCCATAAAAAGCTATTGAATCTAATTGCAACGAGTGACAAAACTTCCATATGATCAACCTGACTATCTCATAGGTCCATTTGCGCCTTTTAACTTAATGCGGCCTAAATCACATTTATTTGATTCTTTGGATGGTGACTACCTATTTATTGAGTCTTTTGACAAATTAAATTGGTGGATGAATATTCTATACATCCACTTTGCAATGAAGTGAAAGGACCTTTCAACTTTTTTTTTTTTTTTTTAACGGAAGACATGAATTAATTTGATGAAAATGAACATTTTGATGTTATCTTTGGAAAAAATTTAGGACATACTTTATCATCATGACAAATCATAAATGGTGGCCCATCCATCAGGATCTCTTAATGCCCTAATCAGTGTGCTGAAGGAATTGTCAGCATAAAGACTTCTGTTATGAGCCAGCCATATATGTCATCAGTTTGACCGGAGAGATTCATAACCCTGAAGAGCAACATATTAAAGTTTCCAGAAGGCAAAGGCTCTTGCAATATCCTTAAAATGTACATGATAAGGATGTGAAAACTGTGTTCCTGAACCTGTCAACAATGTATAACGATGTCTGCCAGATGAACCAGTATAAATTAATCAACAGTGGATTTGCATGATAAACGTACTGAGGGGAAAAAAAAACCTTTCCAGGAGATGAAGTATGCTAGAGTGACCAAACTTAAATGCAGCATGCACATTCCTGTTTTGTTTCCCTAAATGTAATTTGTGCATGAAAGTACATCAATAATCCTTGAGCTCTGAGTACCACCAGTAGGGTGCAAAACTGGGCCTGATTCTTCTTCTTCTCTACAATGTTGTTCCCTTCCTTACCCCTTCTACCTCCCCCCAAAATATAATCCACCCTGTAGCCTTATCTGTTCTTTGGCTATATTTTCAAATTTAAATAGCTTCTAACTATGCACAGAATAAGCACAGAGTTAAATCAGTTTGACTAGATTCTCACAACTATACAACTATATATATGTTCCACAACTATATTTCCACAGATTTTCTCTTTTAGAAACTGGTTAGCAGTTCTCGATTCAGGTTCCTAACATATTCCTAATTCCAGTTTCAACGTAAATAGCAGTTTAGATAAACGAAGATGCAGTGTTTATGATTGAGAAATGGCTAGAAACATCAGCAGACCGCACTGATGCTCTCAGATTTTTATGTTTAGGAGGATTTAGAGCTGCTTTTAAACTCAACAGTCAAAAATTTGAAATTACAGTGTAACAGGCTAATGTTCTTCCATGGTTTAGCCCAATTTTTTCAGTTATCCACAAAGAAAATGTCTGGTGAGGGTATGCTAGTCTGTGCTGCTTTATCACTGTAGAAGGAGGGGCTAGAGCCCACCTTTTTATTTATTAATATTTTTTTTTAATGTAGGGGACACACTAAGTCACAGAAGTGTTTTCAGTCCACCCATTCCCTTTATATAAATCTAAAAGAATAGGGTTATTCTCCCTGTATTGACAAAAATCTCAAGGAAAAATCCTTCATCTCAACAGAACGAGCCACAGGACATGCCTCTATGCATATACACAGACATGCAGGAAAACAACAAGGGCTTAGGATATGAAGAAAGCTTTGCTGTGGAACGCTCAAGAAGTCAGGACAACAATCTTCAAGGTTATCTTTGTCATGAAGACATCCTTATTTATTTGAAGCCAGCATCTGTTTCAATTGCCAGTATAATCAACCACATTTAACTGGCAAGTAAGTTCAGAGGCTGGTTTTGAAGGCCAGCCAGATAGGATATAAGACATGAAACTAGAGTAAAATTGGTCACATTCCACCCTTTGGTGTGACTGATGTTTAAATAAGGAAAAAAAAAAAACAGCTAACAGCACCCTGAAGTGTTTTCTGCTTACTTTTCCACAAGTTTGATATTTGAGAAGAAACTGTGATATGATTCATACCTTGCAAAGAGTCCCATAATGGTTACACAATTCTGTTCCATTTTTTGCAAGGAATTTTGCGCATGCAACCATTTCAAGAACACAGAACCCAAAACATCAAAAAGTAGATAGCAATTGTAAATGGATACGCAGACTGAGTATGAAATACAGTACAATTCTCCTCCTCCTGCAATTAATTTATTCTCAAACTAGACTGATCTTATGAAAAACTCTTAACTGCCCTTTTGAGAAACTGATGTGTTTTGATGGATGACTATACACGTTTTAAAGCTTTTCAGTAATTACTTACATTTTCTTAGATACAAGAACATCTTGCCACCTTGCATAAGCATTAATGGAGCACTTATAACTTGCTTTTTAATCATGGGCCTGTTAAGCCATGTTAAATTAACATGGGTCAACAGATGTGCTAGGCTGTACTAAAACAGACTTTCAGGTCAAGTCTTTGAAGCTTTGTTTAGCGCTCCTGGTTCCTTTCACATGCCCCACACTGAACTTTCCCTGCAGCAGTCTCAGTGGTGCCAAGCAGTTCTGAGGCATTCCAAACAAATGTTATCTTAAAGGACTCGCACGTCCTCTGCTATGGAGCGATACACAGCAAGTTAAGCAATGCAGAGGATTTATTCGAATACAATAAATACATCTTGCGTTTTTCCTACCTCAAAGTAGTGTTTTCCAACAAATCATTTCCAAGCTTGCCTGATCATAAGCCTTAGCACATTACTGTAACATCTAATGGTTGCCAAGCTTTTTAGATTCTCTTGCAGTGGATCACTAATCACCAAACACTAAATTCAAATATTAAGGTAATGGTTGCGGGGCAGGAGGAAAGGAGGGAATCAACAACAACAACGGCTAAGGAAAAACCACAGTAGCAACCACACTAGGGTAGAATATCAGTCTTTCTGATGATTGATCTTTGTAGCATTTCAACTTTGTTTTTCAGCTAATCCTTCCGCAACTAGACAGATTGAAGTCTGTGGAAAACATGTTCACACTGCTCAATTCTATGACTTGGATTGTGCAAAAACCTACTCAGAGGCTTAAATATGCATTAGGGATCAGAGAAACCACAACAGTGTCTTCTGAAGCTGTTAACAGGTAACAAAATCATTTGCATATTGACAAATTACTGGATTGACCCTATGCAACTATTCCAAAAAGGATGCATTTTGTATGCTGTAGAGAAATACTGCATTTTCTTACTAAAAATCCTCAGACTTGAGGTTTCAAAAAAAAACTTTCACCTATAAAACTACTGTTTTGTCAGATGAAACAAAATCCTGAAATCTCTAAAACCATCCACAAGATACTATTGTTTAACATTTATGGCTAAACAACTGGTTTAAAGCCATAACCACAAATAAATAAAACCATAAATAAAACCATAAATAATAAATAATAACAATAAATAAAACCATAAATAAAGACCGTAAATAAAAAACTTAGATTCCATGAACTGATCTTTTACCACAGCAGGGGGGCAGGCAGAAGACAGTGTATCCATGGAAAGAGTACTCTCACAGCGTCCCTTGGGGTATGTGAGTTGCAAATCTAGACTGAGTCAATGTTCACTCCCAAAAGCAAGATGCATGAGTAAGCTATGATAGCTTTTCATGAACCCCTCAGTCTCTACCTATTAACAACAAGATGTGCAGCATCCTTTTTTAGTCTAACTAGGCATCTCACATAGACGCCTAGAGCAAAATGAGACAGTGTCCTTCACCCCTGCACAGAGAGTCCACTTTTAGAACCAGTAAGAAAATTTTCAGAAAGGCAAAGAAAACTTAAGAAGCCTTCCTAAACGTTAACTGCTTAAGAACATGACTCTTTTCTGAAGGCACAGCAGAAGAAGATTTTGAGTCAGCTGTGAATCATTTTTAATGCAGCCATGGCATGGAGTATACTAAGCAATCATGGAATCTGTACTTAATGTGGCGTAAGCAAGTTTATTCCATTGTCATCTACTTCTGAACATTTTACTTCTTTTACTGAAAACTTCCATTCTTGATCATAGTCCAAGGAAAACATTCATGGGAAGTCTGAAGAAAGTATTTTCTCCTCTGTAATTAAAAATAGTTGAACTTAGAAATTTTCTAAAACATACCTAATGGAAGCTTTCTCTTAACTAAAACAAAAGACTGGTACTGGATTTCATATTCCTAAACACATGAAAACATGCTTCAAAGTTTTGGCTTCTTCATAATAAAGTCACCAACAGAAATATTTAATACAGAGATTATCTATCCTCAGTAATACGTTGCTTTGTTGCATCAGGCAAAGAAACCAAGACAGTGAGCAGTTCAAGATTAACACAAACACATCAGCCCCTTGAAGAGCGCCTAAATTGTCATAGATTTTAAAAGAGCAATCCTGGCTTACTAATAAAGCACTGAAAGGGTAAACTTCCCATTTTATTTCTGCACGTGCAATTTACAGTCCTATACTTTTTGTCTCAGGCCCAGTAGAACCCATATCTAATTTCACAACTTGCACAATCATTTTGCAATGGGAAGTCTTCAGTTAATCACCTTTGGCCAAACTTTTGTATCCAAAAAAATTTGTGACATCCCATCAACAGCACTATATACAAGCCAATTGCAAACTACCCACTTAAAATTTTAACCTAAAAAGTAAATCTAAATGCTAGTATACTTCAAAGCAGTAATAATTTTGATTGGTACAGAATGAAGCAACCCCTTCCTGCTCAAGCAGCAGGGAAAAAGCACTCAATAGCAGCAGCACTGCAACAGCCACAACAAAAAGCATTTTAATAAAAGACAAACTGCAGTAGATGTACAAAAGAGTGTGGGTAGGGGAGTTGCTACGTGCTTTAAAACCAAGTTAGTTAATATGACTAAACGTTTGAAAGCTCCCGGAAGCCACCTGCTAGTGCACAGGGATTCTGCTGTATGTAATGAACTATACAATATCAACATCTTACTATCAAATGCACTCTCTTCAATATGTGAATTTTGAAAAGCTAGGTTAAATCTCAAAGCTCAGGATGTGGCACAATGAATGGAATACCTTAAAATTCTCAAAGTAACCCGTCCAAAATTGTTGTTCCTTATATATAAGCCTTCCTAACTTAAAGACTAAAGCCGCATTCAAAAATATTCACATTTATCACTTTTATTTTTCAGGGTTACTTGGTTTATGTTTCATCTGTCTGCATAACAGACTAAAGACCCCCCTCCGTGGATATCGCTAGGTTCAAGATAAGCAGACATTCAACAGCAGTTTAAATTTTCTTTTTCCTTTTTTTTTCCTTTAATGTGGACATATATTTATAAAACAGACCCTACAATTTGCCAATTTCCAGGGCTTTCTAAAAAATTATTATATGAAAGATGTCTTCAAGCAAGCCATTTAAGGATCTTTTAGGAACATTTTCTATATTCAAAAACAAGCAAGGAAACTGAGAATGACCACACAAGGCAGGCTGAACGCTATGCCATTTGAAAGTATGTTTCTCATATTTTCTATAAAATCCATTTCCAACAGAAAACTTTAAAACCTTTTTGAGAATTATATTAACAGTGCATCTATTAAAGTGACATTAAATATCTCCATTAAAGCTCACAGAATAGCTAAGGCAGAAAATAAAACTAAATCTACTTTCCAATGAATAAGAAACAGTACCGAATCATAGCTCAAGATGGTGTACAGGTTACATTTGCATAAGTTTTACAAAGATCGCAAATGACAATATAAGAGCAGATGATGGTAATCCAGAAAAGACTTAGAAAATCTTCAAGTCCCAACATTAAGCATACAGCATCCACCTCTAAGAATACTCAGACATTAACAAAATATATTTTCACATTAAATTATTGGAGTTCTGTGGTTCTGTTTTGACGCAGCTACCCTCAGTTTAACTCCCCAGGCAAGGGAAGGCATGGAAAAAATGGAGACAGACTTTTAAGTGCAGCTAAAGTAAAAGTCTAAAATAGCTTATTCGAACCAAAACTCTGATCCTTCTCAAGAGAGTTTGTCTCATGGCCTCAGAAGCTGAAGTTAAGTGCTGTTTCCCACTGAGAATGCAAAAATGGAGCAGCACATTCACTTCTATTTCTGTAAGATTTATAGTTGATTATTTTTCTTTCATCAAATAAGGAATTACAATAAAATTAGGATTTGAGTCACTCCTCTCTTCCTCCCCAAAACAAACATCCTCCCCACATGCTGTCTTCCTAGTTTTTCTAAGTTCTAGATCCCACACTACAAATTTGTCCCAGTCCTACAGAAACCGAATTACAAGGTGGAGTGCACTGACGCCACCTACATCATACTTTTGTTCTTAATACCTATACCTTCCCATTTGCTGCTGCTTTTACCTCACTTTCATACTGAGGGAAGTAGCACTCTATAATCTTCAGAACTACTTTTCACGTATACAGATAATTGCTAACAGGTATTATTGTTGTTGCTGTTGCACTTTGATTACAGTGAAATAAGAAAAAAAAGATATTGGAGTTAATACCCTGTGTTTCAAGAGGGGGAAAAAATATTGAACACAGAAATCATGAGAGACCGCCTCCAAGAGCTTAAACTGAGAGCTAAGGAACTGCAGCCAGTTGGAGAAAACAGCTGTGCAACTATGCAGGAAGAAGAGCAGGAAGAGTTTGAACAGCAGGCTATCATTTATGAAAAAGAGCCCATAACTGAGAGGCACTTGCATGAAATCCAGAAGCTTCAGAATGAAATTAGTAATTTGCTGGAGGAGGTGCAAAAGTTCAGTCAACAACAAAAAACCCTAGTATCTTCAATGAGAAGGTTCAGTGTCCTTAAAAGGGAATCTAACATAGCAAGAGAAATAAGAATTCAAGCAGAGCACATCAGCAAATGCTTGGATGAACTGTCAAAAACAGTGAAAAAAGCTGAAAATGAACATGGGTCATCATCTGCTATAGCAAGAATTCTGACTTCCCACCATGCTTTCCTATTCCAGCGTTACCTAAATGCTATGCTCTCATACAATGATGCTATAACTGCTAAGCAAGAAAAATGTAGACTATTTATTCTTCGCCAGCTGGAAGTTGCTGGTAAAGAGGTATCTGATGAAGAAGTCAATAATATGCTCCAACAAGGAAAATGGGAGATTTTCAATGAAAATCTGCTCACTGAAGTCAAAATTACCAAAGCACAGCTTTCAGAGATTGAACAGAGACACAGAGAACTAGTCAATCTGGAGAACCAGATCAAAGACTTGAAGGATCTTTTTATCCAGATATCAATTCTGGTGGAGGAGCAAGGGGAGATGATCAACAACATTGAAATGAGTATGAACAATACTCAAGAATATGTTCAAATATCAAGGGAAAAATTTGGGCTTGCAGTCAAGTATCGAAAGAGAAATCCTTGCAAAGCAGTATGTTGCTGGTGTTGCCCGTGCTGCAGATGACAGAAGAGATACACTATTTGAAATACTAATGGTTCCTGTTTAGTGAACTGAATCAGTCTCAGGATCCCTCTTTTCCTTCATCTTTCTTCCCACTCATACCTTCCTTGTCCACACATCTCTCCAAGAAATTGCATCCGTTTTTCCAAACAGAGCTAGCAGAATGTGAAGAATTCATCTGTTCCTGAATATTATGGTTTTCACAAGAAAATATGAATCAGCAGAATGGATGCAAAGGAGGGAAATTATATGTTTTTGTTCTTTCACACTTCAGTAGCCCAAGTTATTCTCCAGAAGGTAAAATACAATGTGGCAACCAACCGCTAGTGCTTTTGGGAAGCATTAATAATATTGTTAATTTCAGACAAGATTCATAAGACTGGTTTAATTACCTTTTATTAAAAAAAAGAAAAAAAAAAAGAAAAAAGTATTTTTAATTTCCTTGTGGTTTTTGAGTGCCCATGTTACCTTGGTTCAAATTAGGTTTTTCTTCATCTAAAGATCTACAAAAAGTCTATACATAAAGCAGACATCCTCAGTAAGAACCATTAACCTCAGGCCACACTGAAATCAGAACAGTGAAAGGCTGCTGTAGTACTGTAGCTACAGTAAAAGTTACTTCCAAGAAAAGTTGAATTTCAAATTAATTTATGGAGGCGAGAGGGCAAGAAAAAAGAGCAGAGGGTCACCTTAACAGCGTGAAATAATGTTAGTGTTATACTAGTATAGCATGCACTGTCCTCTAGAATGTGAAATGGACATTGGGTTATCTATTTTAACAGTATATCGTACAGATAGGTGTTGAGCTAGTATTTTTTGAACACGTTAAAGATCACTAACAGCACAAGACCACATCACCAAACCTACCTTTGTCAAAAAACTGCTGAGAAGCCACGTGTTAACAGATTGACACATAATTCACATTACTCAACTATGCAGGCAGACCCCTAGCAGGTAAGGGGTAGGGAAAAATGGCACTTCTATTACAGTGATAGGACATGTTCTTGCTGCTGACAATCCTATTTAACTATGCAGTTGTCTCTGCAGTTTCCATTTCACTGGCTAATAAATAAATAAATACAGAGAGAATGTCCTTCTTCTAAAAATATACATAATCATAGAACCAGAGAATGGTTTAGGTTGGAAGGAACCTGGGAATATCCCAACAAACCTCCTGCTCAAAACGGAGCCATCTTATTTCTTTATATTTATCGCACATCAAATTAGCAGTTTTGTCAGCCTCTATGCCACTTAAAAACAAAAAAACAAAAAAACCCCACAACTTAAATAATTTAATCTTAAAGGTCCACATTTTTAAAAGTGGTACATAAGTTATATCAGAAATCCTTGGGCATATGCAAGTATCTGGACATTCTCATTTAAAGATACACTGAAAACATTAGTGGCCAAAAACGTTAAGCATATAAAAAAGGCTTCACGTCCTGTGATACGCAACGTAACGTTATCTTTTTTAAAATGGATACTTGGTATCTCCATATCCCCCCAAAATAAGACATTTTAATTAATTTTACCTTAAAAGCTTTGAATTGCAACCTGGTTTAATCATTTTAGGTTACAAACTCCAGATACTCTACATCTACGGATAAACTGAGTCTTGACAGCTGCTACCAGTTCATGCCTGGAAGACCTGCAATGGAATCCAGTCCAAAAATATTAGCAAGGATGAGATAAGAAGCAAACACACAGGTCCCTATTTCTTTTTCTATCAGCTCCATGAGACAGGCTGATGGCTGCACATCCTCCACGCTCCCATTGCACCAGCCTATCAACAGCGTTTGCCTGTCTCTCTCATTCTTTTATTTCTACTTAGCTTTTACTTCCTTTGTAAGTGTTCCTATACTTATTTTAAATCCAGCTTTTCAAGCTTTCATTCATAAGGATGCTGTTGCCATGCCTGAATGCATCCCCACTATATATATATATATTTATATATATATATATATATTTTTTTTTAACTCAGATTATTTAAATCACACCTCACAGGGGGGCTGGTGTAACAAAAATAGTATGTTCCCATCGTTTCATGAAAATAAACAGGCAGTTTACTGTCAACACCTTCACTGAATGTATATCTCCAGTGGAAAAATGGTTGGTAAAAGGTAAAGGTGCCTAAGAATCTACTTGTCAGATTTAATAGTTCTACAATTCACAGAGGTATTTTTAGTTCCATTTTATGCATCCTGCTGTTTTTGTTCTTTTTCCACCTTCTAATGAGGTACATTCATGTGTCCCCTGATGTTATAAGCTGTTGAAATGAGGGGGAAAGCTAACAGCAGCTAGCCGTTGCCTCAACCTGTGTCTGAAGATAACTTATTTGTTCTTATGAAATGGCTGAATTAGCTATATAAGAAGTATACCACTGTTTTATTTTGCCGCACAAGATAGATATTTCCGCAGTGAAGAAATAGCAAGTGGATGTGGAGTGGTTTGAGTGGTTTTTGCTTTCCATGATCCCACTTGTTGGCTTCTTCTCTGCACCCAGCTCCTTTTGGAACTGAATGAGAAATCGCTGTAATGTAATTTCTAAAAGAAAACCAACAGTGCAGCTGAGATGAAAGAGGTATTTCCAACTCCCCTTCCCCCCCAACAATTCATTCCTAAACTCCTACATGCTGTGAAAAGATGCAGTCAGTACCACAATATCTGGATGCAGTCAGAGAAGACAGAACAAACGGCATTGCAATGCTGCAAGACACTGAGTGAGTCAATTGTCTTTAATTTTTTTCTACTAGCAGGCAGTTAACCTGTATACTGAAAGCCTATGAAACTATTTCCATGTTGCAAGCTTTAGAAGCAGTTGGATTCTTTCTGTCTCAGCTTAAAATTGCAATTGAAATTAACTGTTATCAAAGTACAGAGGTCTGAACATTAAACTGAAAAACAAAGATTATTTAAAGAGTAGAGAAAATAAAACAGAAAATGGCACCACTGATGCTATTCTATTAAATAACCTCCCCTCCTCTGTTACGTATATGATGGCCACCTTTACATTCCAAGGACAGAATAGAAACAAGCCAATAAGGAATACAAAGAAAAAAGTTGCTATAGACAACATGCTGTCATATGTACATATACATATATGTACATATTTGTGTGTGCATGTGTATACCCATACATGTATACACACCACCCCATCTTTTATTCCTGATTTTATTTTTAGAAAATAACTTTTATAAGAGAGCCTTCCCCCCCTCTAGCCCTTAAAGATAGACATTATTGTACTTTTGTGAGAGATTATCTCTGCCAAGGTTGACATAAGAGCAAACAACATACAGCAACCACCACATGTTTAGCAGCATCCCCCACGGCAGAAATGTTCACACAAGCATTCTTATCTGCAAGAGAAATGTGTTTCTGGGCTAGCCCTGCCTCTTCACATCACAGGGATTGTTCACTAGACCACGTTTATTTCAAAGATACAATAGTTGTAGTTTAAATCATGGAATAAAATTCAAGTTTCAATAATACTCATGAAGGCAGCTACCTATCCATTAGCAACTAAATAATTCAAGTAGTTTTCAGCTATTTATGGGTTAGAAAACAGCAAAATAGCAATGTTCCTAACATGCTGAAGAAGAGTTGAGAAGACAGAAAGCCAGAAAGACTTGTGGAAAGCTTTTTCTTAACAGGTGCTACTAACTGAAATTAATTAGTATAACTAAAACTTACATTAGCATCATGAGAATTTTACATTGAGTATTCATAATGTTTAGAATTTTCTTTATATATATGGCTATGCAAAACAGCAAATCAGAACAGAGCTGCTAGTATGCAAATAAATGTGAGACATTAATAGCTGCAGTCCCTTATCACTGAAATAACAGGTAGGAAGTAGTTTTCTACAAAAAAAAAAAATTGCCTAGGGAATCTGTCTGGTATAATAATATTACCCAGAGAATATGAACTTCTACAATTTCCTCTTGCAGGTATTTGTACCAAAATTTAAAAAAAGTAAAAATACATTGCCCCTGTAGTTCCTGTATTTCCTTACATAATATGAAGTGTAAGTGGCCCTGGTTAAAATGCAGAAGAAAACAATTCTAAAAAGAAGAAAATTTATTACGCTTGCAGACCAGTATAACTCTTAAAGATACTAACAAAAAACTGACCTATATGAACCCAAGAACTGCAAGAAGTCTTACTTTCTACACCTGAATTTCCCTGTACGTAATAGAGTGATTATCTGAAGCATTTCAGTTTTTCTACATGGCCTACATGGGCAAAACAAACATAAATTCAACAGTAACATGCTAGAATAAAGACATGCCAAAGACCAAATTTAACACCTTAAAGTAATTTGTACTAAGAACAAATAACAGCCAATACCATCAGAACTTTAAGATAACCGTTTTAAAATGGTATTGCAACCTCCACGGCTGACGATAGATAATATAATGATACCACCATACCAATTCAGGTATCACACTGAACACCACCAAAATTCTTATATCCCAACATTACTGTAATACAGCATCCATTGCACTAATCTTGTGCCCACACTGCACAGTCCAGTCTTATTCCTTTTCTGCTCCACTTCTCTCTGAATAGTGCTCAAGCTCACTACTCCCAATCCATTCCTTCATCGGGGAGGATGAGAAGCAAGAGGTGTCTTGTCCTTTACTTTTCTTCTGCCAGCAGTGCTTCTTTTTCTCCCCAGTAAAAAGCAGACTTGCCACATACACAGGCACACTATGGGATTAGGTCATTTTATAACACAGTTGATAGGGATGGGAGAAGAGACAGCAAAAGGAAGAGAGAGCCAGTGACCCCAACCCCAACTCAGTAACGAAGACTGCATCTCAAATTCTTTAGTAATGGGTCCTGTTCTTCATGGTGAAGCCAGACCACTCTACCCATGGTAATTTATGGCGATATCTTGGTAGCAAAATCATGAAGAATGCAAATGCTAGCACTACTCACAGCTGACAAAAAACAACAGCTGTCTAAGGAGAAATTAAGTGACATAAATTGCCACTTATATACAGTACTTTACTGAAAAGATCGTTGTTTGTTTTGACAGATTAAAAAAAGAATATATGTATTCTGGGGAAATGTTCTGTTTCTCAAGAAAAAAGTAGAAACAAAACACTCAGGAGAAGAGCAAGCATTAAAAAAAGGGTCCCCTCCCCCACTTTTTTCCATAATAAAATGCATAAATTTTTCAAGTGGCCCCACTCTTAAATCTCAAAGATTTTAAAGTATTCCCAGGGAGATAATTTCCACATATTTCATGAAAGAACTTTGGATCCAATTGCACAGTCCTCTATACTTAATGATTACAACTGTTTCACTGCACACCTCACAATCCTAGCTAGACAACATCTCCAAAATTATTCTCCCACCTCTC